TTTTTAGAAGATAGAAATGTATGAAAACTATAAATTCCATAATTATTTTTCGTTTTTAGTCCCTTAACTGGAATTTATATACACAGTATTTGGGTTTGTTTGCCTCTTGGATGCTAGTGTGCATTGAAATCGTGGTGTGTTTTGACTCTGTATCAATTTTTTTGTCTGAATTTACTTGACGGACTTTTGAATTTTGTGGTCTTAAAGTAAAGATATATAAAACATATCAAAATGTATGTGAAAAGTTAAAATTAAAGAGTTTCCAAAAAAAGAATAAGGGAATAAATAAGATTTTCCTTAGCTCAGTCGGAAGGAGCTCATAATGTATGTCTCTAGCATGACCACTTGATGAAATCTTGAGGGAAGTGGGGTAAATGGCGCATACTATAGGAACGGTTTCTCTTTGGATAATAGGTATTGTAGCTGGTATTCTTGTAAGTGGTTTAATAGGTATTTTCTTTTATTGTTCATATTCCGGATTGGATTCATCCCTGTTGCAATCGTCTTAATTGAATTGTCGACATGAAAGCGAAAGCACTCAACGGTTGCCAAAAAAGGGAAGAGACATTCTTGTTGAAATGGACTAAAAAGGAAAGTGAGACAAACAAATTAAAATGGAGGGAGTAATATTCATTTATCAGCAAAAACTGATCATGATTTTAGCTTGGTTAAGGGGATGCATTAGTTGCAATTTGGGTTGATTAGCAAGCTACGGTCTGGCTACCCTTGAACTAGGTTGGGGTAAAAAATTCCATAATCCAAAACGTTGGTTAGAGTTTGCAATGTGCATATAAGGTACAATATGGAAAATCAAATACCAGCTAGGCTATTGGTGTCTACTTGTATATTGTGATGTTGGCGCAAGTGTTAATGGGTGTTTTACTCTTTCGATTTATTTTGCGCGGGGGATGTGAGCTACATGTGGATTTACTATTTAATCCTCATTTCCAATGGAAGTTGAAGAGTTCATGACTTTAATATATGATGAATGATCTCTGGGATTGTGGATAACACATTGTAAAATTTTGTTTCCAGTGACAGAGCGATTCCTTCTTCCAATCTCGATTTGCATGTTGCTCACTGCTCCCGGAAGCTTGAAAAATGTAAAATTTGCGGGGATGTGGTTCCAAAAAAACATGCAGAAGAACATTTCTTGAGCACTCATGCTCCGGTAAGTGAACCTATTGTTTAATCTCATCATTTTTTGTCAATGATGCCGTGGGATTTTACAGGGAAAAAGTTCATTTTTCCCCTTCTCTACTTGCATTCTCAACTTTTACACGCAAGGAGTTCTCGATTTCCTATAACTGTATCCATTGATCCCAATATATATTGGTCCCTTTTGAGATAGATATCTTAATTTTATCTATTCGATTTCCTTTATTTTCCAGTTTGCTTCCAGATACTGTTTGTGTGAATATGCACATTTGTCAGTTCTGTGTTTGTAAATACATATTTTTGTACCTCATTTCATGGCTGTGCAATACAAAAGGAAAGGATAGAACTTCCTTCTTATAATAACATTAAGTATGGTGTAAGGTGTTGCTACTGAATTCTTCTCACTTCTTCAAAGTTGCTGTTCTTTAAAGCTAGCTTCAAACTTTCTAATGTGATATTATGCATGAATTTTTAGGTAGCCTGCTCTTTGTGTAGTGAGACAATGGAGCGTGAGGTGTTAGGTGTTCACAAAGGTGAAAATTGCCCACAAAGGATTGTGACATGCGAGTATTGCGAATTTCCTTTGCCTGCAATTGATTTATTTAAGCATCAGGTTATAATTACTATCTATGATTAAGCTTCTTTCTGTTTTGTACTTTTTCTGGAATGTTTGAACTTCAGTATCCTGCTGTTATAATATCTGCATTCCTTTACCAGGAAGTATGTGGGAATAGAACAGAACTCTGTCATATGTGTAGCAGATATATTAGGCTCTGTGAAAGAGATGTCCATGAGAGTAGATGTAATGGAGGCACAAACATCATTGCAGAATCTTCCAGGTATACAGACCTAGAAAATTTATTTAGTCTACATTTTTCATGTCTCCAAGGTCGCTTTGAATCTTCCCTTTCAAAGTTGAGTAGATTTGGCTTTGAATTCTTGGTGATCTTTATGAGGTCCAACCGTCAGTCCAGCGGAAACATGCATCTCTCTGTTATTCTTACCTTAACGTAATTGTCCCTCAGACATGCATTTCGTGCTTATATTTTGCTTTTCCTCTCTTGTTGGTACAATTGATCTATGGATCTTGTCACAATGATAAGTGAACACCGACTTACAAGACTTAGAACCCCTTTGTTAAACCCACACCGCTCTAATCTGAAGACAAAAAGAAAACATAAAAGTGAAAACATTCTGTATAGATGCACTGTGGAGTAATGCCATGATATAATCAGCCTAATACCATCATGGCTGGATATGAACGGTCGTTGGTTAGTGATCATGACTAATAAACCTGACATCATAAAAGGTATATAGGTTCCAGCTTGTAATCTTTTCTTGATATGGTGTTGAGTCATTTTCTATTCCTGGAAACGTGTCAAGTTTTCTGGTTAGCAACTGTGACAAGGCTTGCTACCATGTAATACTTTTCTGCTTTTCGATTCAATCCAACTTGACAAAGCTCGTCTAAAGGGATATTGGATAAGTTGCTTTTTGAACAATGTATGTTTTTTTATGACAAGGGAACCCGCAGCCTCTACCCTTTTGGGTGCACACAGGGTAAACCCCATTCTTGTGATATAGCTCGCAAGCCACACATGAGTAGTAAACTGCACTAGGCAAGCCCCATGCGACGAGCTCAATCCTGAGGCCAACCCCCTGTTGTATAGCTATGTATGTTGCTATGAAAATCAGTATTAATTTTATAAATAGCAACTAAAATGCTACAGAACATGGTACTCGTTATGTTGGTTCTAATATATGTTAATTCACTTCCTAACCAGCATCCAAACGACTCTTGAGTTTATTAACCCCCGTGGGAAGGCGGTTAAATCACACCCTTTTCACCTATTATTATTTGAAAACCATAACGTTCTGCATAGGGCATTGCGGGAGCTAACAATTGCTCATTTTATTATCAACTCTTTTGATCCTCAACTCCAGGTTTCTCATACACTATATCTAAAGCCCGCTTTTCTCAAATATGCACCTGTTCCACCAATGTAATATACTGTAAATTTGACAAACTTAGAAGTTCCAGAGTCTCTAAATATGTGAGAGCCATATTCCATTAAGCAGAAAGAGTTCTTTCTAACTAGAGATGATCAAATGTATTAAGGGAGGACAAAGCGCAGAAGAAGAAAGCAAAAACTTTCTTGATGGACGTAGATAAGATAGACGTAGGATTAACCACAAAGAAAGAAGAAAAAAGAAACTCCAGTGTAGCCTTAGAAAAAATTAGAGTTTGATCACCCTTTATTGGGCAGGTAAAACATAAAGGAAACAAGAATATACATATTTATATGCATGTATTATGGATGAGAAACAAGTGTACAAACATATGTCTCCTGGCCATGTTTGACCTAGATTTTATCCGAGATTCTTGTGTATATTCATGTTCAGCACACCAGATACGGTGTTTGGTTACCAGTTTACAATCCTACATAACTAAAACATGTATAGGTTATGAGTCAATTTATGCATTAGTTTATATAGGATAGAAAACTAAGGTAACTCTGCATAACTAAAACTACCTGTGTAACTCTAGCCAACAACCAAACGACCCCTCAAGGTGCTCCTAAATATGTGCATGTGGTTATTCATATTGTTGCTTAGACATAGGTCTCTCTTTTCCTACATTCCAATTGTTTCCATCATATGTCGCGTCCAATAAAGTAAATACACTTCTAAACCATCTACTTATACTCTCTGCAACTGTACTATTGTCTATTGTGCTGCTATATCTTCTGCTCTGGTCTTTACTTTTTCGTCGTGTTTCTTGTATCTTTGAAGGAACACTAGTCCAGCTGAGAGAGATCACCACGATGCTCCTAGAAGGCAACCACACGAAGTTTCCAGGAAGCGGCTTCTATTTACAATTGCTATAACGGGCGTTGCTGTTTTGTTTGGCTCACTTATTTTCCAGAAAAAAGCCGAAGACAGTCAAGTGTCGTAGCATCTTTACTGTTATCCATCAACTGATATTACGTCAATTTTAATTAGGAGTTCCAAGAATCCATAATGTACCTACAAAGAACTAACATGCAATCAAAGATATGGACAATTACTGTTGTATGTAATCAATTTTTGTTTCTAGTTGATCTAAATAATGTAATTTGTCTTCTTGAAAATAATGACATTCATGATGCTATTGGAGGCAATGATTAGTAGCATTGGCACGTCACTCCGCTCACTTGGTTGTAAAGACTTTTTCCTTAGACAACATTTTATCAACACAAACGAGGGTTTCACTCGTTATAGGACTTGACCAAACATCTCAGGCAATATTCAATTTATCATTTTTACTCAAAAACTTGGGCAATGGTAGAAAAGGAAAAGACAATAATATGGACTTTGTTTATTTTAGTGGGAAAGGAAAACACAAGCATATTATATACAATTATAGGGTTAACGTAAATTTATTTTTTGTAATAAATAATAGGCATCATAGTCCTAATAGGTTAGAGTTAGGGTTTAAGAGGTTTTATCTCTTTTCTTTTATATATATATATAAAATATAAATACAATGAGAAAAAAAATCTTCTAAATATTATCGGGCTTCTTCTGTTTCAAGTTTGTTTGATTTTTGCAGAATCTCAGGTTGTTTTTTCTATTTAAGCAAATAATTGAATTTTGAATAAAATTTATGTGAAAATTTTAATTGGAATTAAACAAATTCATGAAATAGAGTTGAATTTATATAGATTATTCAATCGAATTTTCTTAAATTATAGTTAAACTATCATCTTCCTTCTCGATTTTTGAATTTTGATTAATCCCTTTTTTTTCTTTGTTATTATGTTAGAGGTTTTAATCAAATTAAGTGATTTTTGAGGGGAATAATGGATGTAGCTTCTGATCAAGTCACAAGTATTTGCACTCACTGGTAAGTTGCATATAATTGTTGTTATAAAAGCTACCTTTGGGTGCGCAGGTAACCCGCTCCTATGTAATAGCTTGCAAATCACATATAACCTGCATTGGCCCAATGCCACGAGCTCGATCCAAAAGGTAAATTGACAAGGGGTTTTGAACTTCAGACTTCCAACATGGAAGTCCCAATCCCAAGGGCCACCCCGAAGATAGTTAGAAGTGGAGTAAATTTCTCAAAAATCACTTGTGAAATTATTTATATTTAGCGAAGTTAATTTAATTGTGTATCAATGAAGTCAGTAAATTTAGAATTAATGGTCAAAAAACATCTAATTATGCTAAGTTCAAGTGTGTCTTTTACCATACAGGACCATAATTTATTTTTTTATGTCACATAGACAGGACCCACAAGTAATAAAATACTTTTAAAATCCAATATCAAATTGACATGTTTTTCCATTGTGGTATTCAATTTTTTTCCATAAATACTTTGATTTGATGTATTTGAGTCGGGTTATTTTTGGAAACAACCTTTCTACTGTCCGAGGTAAGGAGGTCTGCGTACGCTCTACCCTCTACAAACCCCCACTTGTGGATTACATTGTGTATGTTATTATTTCATGTTTTTGTTACCTTTGCTGGAATTAATAAAGACAATATTTGCGTTTGGTACTTTGGTTTTAGCTGCAACTTCTTGTCCCTAGTTAAGTGAAGAAGGAAAAATCTTTAAAGATGGGATGCTAGTTTGCATTGACAATTTAATACACCATACTGATGTGTTTAAGTGCAAGGAGGCGCAAGTGTGAGAGGTTGGTTGTAGTCAACGGTTAGAAGAGGTGGAGATAGGCCAAAGAAGAACGGTGAGAGATGATTAGACAAGAAATGACACAACTTTAGCTGACTAAGAGTGACCTTAGATAGGATAGGACTGTATGAAGGTCGAGGATTAATTAAGGCAGAAGGCTAGTAAGTAATTGAGTGTGTTGTCACACTTTGTGTGGAAGAGGCAGAGGTCTAGCCCGCTCTCCTCTTCTTCCTTTTAGTAGTATTCTTTAGTTATCGCGTAGTTTCTTATTCTTCGATGTGCACTACTAACTGGTGCTAAATTTGTTTTGTATCTTGCTACTTTATTGTCTTATATTTCTTACAATCCTATGTCGGATACATCTCTTTTGAGCCGATCAAGAGTCTACTAAAAGTAGCCTCTCTACCCCATAAAGGTAGAAATAAGGTTTGCGTATCCTACCCTCTCCAGACTCCACTTGTGGTGTTGTTGTAATTCATTTCGTGGCGGGGCTGTGAGCTACAGGAAAATGTGGATTTAGTCAATCATATCATGCTAAATGTCATATTTATTCAAGTTTCACCTTGTATGTTTGTCAGCTTCTTCTTATCTGACTCTAAATATGATCTTTTCCTATGTTGTGTTATTATTCATAATTTGCTGATTTGAATCGTTCTGTTTCCAGTGACAGAGCGATTCCTTCTTTCAATCTCGATTTGCATGTTCCTCACTGCTCACGGAAGCTTGAAAAATGTAAACTCTGTGGGGATATGGTTCCAAAAAAACATGCAGATGAACATTTCTTGAGCACTCATGCTCCTGCAAGTGAACCTATTCGTTTTTCCCTTCTCTAATTGCATTCTCAACTTTTACACGCAAGGAGTTCTCGATTATCTATAACTATATCAATTAATCCCGTGTATTGTATTGCTTGCTCATTGATCTCTTCGATCCTTTTTATGCATGTTAATTTTCAGGTATCCTGTTCCTTGTGTAACGAGACAATGGAGCGTGAGGTTTTAGCCGTTCACAAAGGTGAAAATTGCCCACAAAGGCTTGTGGCATGCAAGTATTGCGAGTTTCCATTGCCTGCAATTGATTTATTTATGCATCAGGTTATAACGACTATCTATGATTGAGCTGTTTGTTCTATTTTGTACCTTTTCTGGTTAAATGACTGAACGATAGTATCCTGCTCTTATAATATCTGCATTCCTTTGCCAGGATGTATGCGGGAATAGAACAGAACTCTGCCAGCTGTGTAACGTATATATTAGACTCCGTGAAATAATGGTCCATACGAGTAGATGCAATGAAGGCACAGATAACATCTCAGAATCTTCCAGGTATTACGAACCTAAAATGTTCATTTAGTTGGGATTTTTCGCGTCTCCAAGGTCGTTTTGAACCTTTCTCTCAAAGCTGAGCAGATCTTTGATTGTGTGGTTGTATATTTCATCATTTGCTAATTTGAATTGTTTTGTTTCCAGTGACGGATCGATTTCTTCTTCTAATGCAGAAGAACATTTTTTGAGCAATGATGCACTGGTAAGTGAAGAAAATCAAAACTGTTTCGTTATATTATTTTAAGTTTCCTATTCCTCATTTACTCATAATGTTTGCTTAATAAATCACATTACTATACACATTTTTTGTTAATGTTGCCCTTTTTCAAATGCCTTGGTGGTTCGTGCTATCATCAAAGCTAACATTTAAGCGTTCAGCCTGTCCTGCACCTAGTTTCAGGGCTTAAGAGTGCTTGAACGAAGTCTTTAAGAACATTCGATTCAAGTTATGCCTCTTTCTTCTTCTAAAGTTTTTGCATTTGATGAAGATATATGTTATGTTCTCCCGCTCACTGCTATGCTTCTGTCATTCTGTTCTGATTTACGAGAAGGATATCTTTGGCCTTCTCTTTTTCGTAGGCTAGGGGATAACATTCTTTTCCTACTTCTTCATAGTTGGCGAGTTTCTTTTCCCTGCAATTGATTTAGTTGAGCATGAGGTTATAATTACTACCTATGATCAAAGCTTCTTTCTAATTTGTACTTTTTCTGGAACGTTTGAACTTTCCAGTATCCTGCTGTTATAATATTTGCAATCGTTTAGCAGGAAGCATGTGGGGATAAAACAGAACGCTGTCATCTGTGTAGCAGATATATTACTCTCCGTGAAAGAGATGTTCACGAGAGTAGGTGTAGTGGTGGCACAGACACCATTTCAGAATCTTCCAGGTATACGAACCTGAAATTTTGATCTAGTAGACACTTTTCATGTCTCCGTAGTCGTTTTGAACCTTCCTTTCAAAGTTGAGAGTAGATTTGGCTTTGATTCTTTGGTGATGTTTATGAGGTCCAACCATTAGTCCATCGGAAACATGCATCTCTCTGTCATTCATACCTTAATGTAATTGTCGCTCAGACATGCATTTCATGCCTTTATTTTGCCTTTCCTCTCTTGTTTTGGTACGAGTGGTCTATGGATCTTGTCTCAACGATTAGTGAGCACTGATACCATTATAACTCTAACCAACAACCAAACGACCCTATAAAGTGCTCCTAAGTAAACAATTTACTAATACTTTGTGCAACTGTAGTACTATTGTGCTGCTATATCTTATGTTCGTGTGGCAAGTTCCCTGGTCTTTACTTTTTCGTCGTGTTTGTTGTATCTTTGAAGTAGCACTAGTCCGGCTGAGAGAGATCACGGTGCTCCTAGAAGGAAGCTACGTGCAGTTCCCAAGACGCGGCTTCTGTTTACAACACTTGCAATAACAGGCATTGCTGTTTTAGTAGGCACACTTATTTTCCAGAGGAAAACTGCAGACACTCAAGTTTCCTAGCAGATTTACTGTAATGATCCATCAACTGATACTTTTATCAAATTGTGTTTCTTACTATCTGAGAAGTTAAAATAACAATATCCGTGTCCTAGAGTTCGTAATGTACCTACTTCTTCAACTTTATACATGTTTAAGTGTCTATTCGTGAATCTGAGGTCAAGTTAAAGGACACGTTTATGTTTACGTCTTTTACTTTTACTTGTCCGCTTCAGATTTTGCATGTCCTTTTAAGACAAAATGATTAATATATGTATTTTATCACAAGATACATATGATGTATAATTTTAAGTTTTGACAAATGATTTTTTAAAACAAGTAACTAATATTAAGGATAAAATATGAAAAAAAAGATATTTTTGTCTTGACCTATGAAATACTTGTTTTTATTATTGTGAATAAGTAAAAGTGAACGTGGAGTTTAATGAAAGATATATGAGAGAAAATGACATATTGAAAGAGGGGAAAGGAGTGTGAAACATAAATATTAGGTGGAGACTACAATTCCCACTTGTCCCAATTGGCTTATATCAGAAGAATATTCAAATCAAATGTGAATAAAAAGTAATTTCAGTATAACGATATTAATATTATTTTTGTACACTCTTTAAGAAAAATATTTGGTGGCAAAGTCGATTCATTATGATTTGCATGGAGACAAAAAAAATGAAGCAAATAATTTGATTTTGTTCTGTCTTTATCTATTTTTTTTTATTTTTTTTTATACTTTGATTATGATTATTTTGGCGAATCAAGTGAAAGTATGAAAAAAGAAGGATACTAAAATTCAAATTCAAATATGAAAATAGAAAAAAAAATTAAAAAAATATCACTAATAATAGAGTGTAATGAGGAAAACATACGACAAAATGTGAGGACCAAATGAATCATGTTACTTTTTCTGCCTTTTGTCTTTTTGAGACAGATTCTGAATTATCTCTTCTACGTTAAGTATCTGTACAATTATGCCTTTTCAACTCGTGAACATTTTGTATTCATTTATCAGGTTTAAATTACATATATTAATAACAAATAATTTTAAATAAATTTAGCAGGTTGTTATTCTATTTTCCATTTTATTATATTTTATTATACACTTGCTGTAAAAATATAGTAGGCGCCTGATCATAAATTTTTCTTTTTTTAAAAAATTAGTGGAGTTGAAGTTGGAGTAAAAGATGGAATTGTGTTTGATTATACTTTTTGCAAAAAATATTTGAAATAATGTTCTTGCTTGAACGCACTTAAATACAATTTCAAAATGAGTTAGAAAATAATTTCAATTTGAAATATAACTTCAAGTTGAATTTGAGATTTTCATGTCTAGACGCAAAAAAATTATTCCACAAAAAGGTTAAAAAAAACAGTTATGGCCAAACGTTCTCTCCGTCTTAATTTATGTGATGGTGTTTGACGTAACACAAGATTTAAGAAAGAAAAACTTTTAAAATTTATTGTCTAAAATAAATTATAAAATATTTATTTGAGTAAAACTTAAAAATTGTTACATATATTAAATATAGAAATGTACCTTTTTAACTGCTTAAAAAAGAAAAAATATCACATAAATTTGAAACCCAAGTAGTATTTACTATTGTAGTAGGTGATGTCAATATGTAGGAGCAAGTAGATAAACTTGAGAGTACAACTATGGGGTCTATTAGGGGCGTATTTAGAGGGGGTGCCATGGGTTCACGTGAACTCATGCTTTCCATCTCTAGATTATATATAATAGTGTTATATTTTTAAAAAATATTTAAATATAGATGTGTGAACTCATGTTTAAAGTATCATATAATAATCAATAATGATTAAGTGCAACCTCTCTAAGTAAGGATAAAAATTTAAATCTTATATCTATCTTGTCCTTTTAAGTAACACCTCCCCAAGTGGTTTTCGATTATACTTTTGATGTTTCAACTAATTTTTCTTTTGTTTTTTTTCCTTTAATCTTTCAAAATTTTCAAGTGGCTTACATTGGAAGTTCCTAAAAAACTTTGCACTATAAGATTTTTATATAATTAAATCAAATGTGTATATTAAAATTTAAAACTAATAGTATTATATATTTTGGACCTATAATTTTTAAAATTTATTGATTCATATTAAGAACCTAAAAATCAAACTTATCAAATTTATATTTAAGATACATTTTTTCGTATTCGTGCACTCTGACGAATTCCTGGATAAGCCTCTGGGGTCTATGGCATGTGTTTATGGTGTTCATAATTCAAATTTGCATCGCAATGCTCAACACAAAAAGAGTTACATTTTCCTGGAAAACAATTTTTTAAATATCTTTCTTCATTGAATAGGTGGGGATACAGAAGAAAAAAAATTGTTACTTTAGGGAAACTATGTCTTCTACAGGACTGTTGTTAAATGCTCAAAATGACTATGTAAAGTTCTTTTCTTTTTGAACTTACTGCTCTTAATTTTGTTATTTTCATAATAAACTTCCTCCTTCTCCCTATTTTTCTTGGTCTCTGTTTTGCTGGTTGTTCTTTTTTTTTGAGGGGGTGGGGGTGGATGTGCAAGGAAGGTTGACAATTTAGGTAAGGTCCAAGAAGGGTAAGGGATGCAAAGATCGAATTTTTAATGAGGAAATTTCATAAATAACTATAGTTTGAAGCATAATTACCGTTTGTAGTTATAGTTTGCTTAATTACAGTTCATAGCAACTATTTTAGAGTTGTATCTGTGGGCTTGGAGCTGGATCTGTTGTATCTGTTTGCTCAACCTAGTTGTACTGTAGCATGTCGTGAAAGAAGCACATTGGACGGGACGGGCATAAGTTCAATAGGGATAAGTTATATCTCTTAACATATACAATTTTGTTGGATATACTGTATAATTTGTTTGTTCAATCTAGTTGTGTCAATACATACAATTTTATTAGATACATTGTATTTGTTCGCTCAACCAAAGCCTCGATTTTGAAATATATTCTCAAGTTAATAATGGAGGAATCTCATCCATCTACCATATGTCTTGGTAGTAAAGATTGTTTTTTTTTGTTCTGTAAGAGTGTTTTCTGTTGTAGGTGGTGATAAATAATGGAGTTGTGGAAATAACTTGGACAAATCCAGGAGGAATTATCAAAGGGATAAAGTACAAGGGAATTGACAACTTGCTGGAACAAAAGAATAAAGATTTGAATGGAGGGTAAGTTATATAGAAGGTGTAATCACAATTCCTCCTTTGTATTCTGATAATCAAAGAAATCTGTTACTATCTGTTGTTTCTTGTGCTTCGATTATCATATTATTTTGTTGTAGTTACTGTTTAGAATGTTTTGTTATGCTTTCACATCCTTTGATTCTTTTTCTGGACTGCTTTGGACTGTTTTTCCTTGAAATGAGGGTCTAGCAGAAACAACCTCTCTGCCTACCCTCCCCAGACTCCACTATATGGAACTACATTGGGTATGTTGTTGTTGTATAATCAAAGAAATCTGTCTTCGAGGATGTACAAAATCTGAGTCTGTTTGTATCATTTTATTAAGATGATAATCCATGGGTTTTTTTACAACCATAGTTGAATAGGTAGTGATTTATCTGATGCTGTTGAAACAAACAGGTTTTGGGACCTTAATTGGAGCGAGCCGAGTAGTACAAAAACAAGGGGAAAGTTTGACACGTATGTATTCTGTACTCTCATCCTTTTCCCTATAGTAAAAGTTTAATATTGCTTAGAAATATCAGGTGGAACACATTATATAGAACTGTTAATGTTCACCCTTAAGCTATGTTGCTCGGACTTTTCAGAAATACCTAGAGGTGAACATTGAAACGTCCAAAAGTAGTGCATTTTTGAAGGACCCGAAAGGGGTGCAAGCTCATTTTTGGGAAGTCCAAGCAATATAGTCTTTAGGGTGCTAAAGTGAATTAACCAAGGTTAAGAAGTATAGAGATTGCATTATCATCCTTCTTTTTGTTTGTGTGGATTATTGTGCAGGATACAAGGGACAGATTTGCAAGTTATAGTGGAAAATGAGGAGCAAATTGAGCTTTCATTCACAAGAATGTGGAGTCCAGAAGTCCAGGGTGAACAAGCTCCTTTGTATATTGATAGGAGGTTCTTGTTGAATTTAGATTTTTTTCTTCTAATCGTTTGAGTATAATTCGTCATTAATGATGGACTACTTTCTTACTGATATAGACTATTTGCAGGTTTGTAGTATTTCGTGATGTTCCGGGATTTTATTCATATGCCATCTTTGAGCACACGAAAGACATGCCTGCTTTCCACCTTAACACGACCAGAATTGCTTTCATGCTCAATAAAGAAAAGTAAGAATCTTCATAGCTATTTTCTCCAAATGAAACAGCATGTTGAAGTGAACAAACTTGATTCATTTGCAATGCTCATATCACTTGTTATTCAAAATATTCTATCATGGGAAAGGAATTTACCGTAAGGGCGTAAGAAAAGGAGAGAAAAAGATCAGATGTAAAACTTTAAAATCTTTGGATGTAGTCTGAAAGGCATTTGTCCAACGTTCTTTTGAAAGATCTCTTCGTAAAGCAAAATGTTGTTTCGTTAAGGATGTAAAAATGATCAAATTCTAACAAAATGAAATTGAGAACGGAAACAACAAAAAGTAACTCTCTAGTATCCTTCTGGCATTACCAGGTTTCACTACATGGTCATAACAGATGATAGACAAAGATTTATGCCTAGTGCAGAAGACCGGCTTCCAGGGAGAGGCGAACCATTAGCCTATCCTGAAGCGGTTCTCCTTGTCGATCCTATAGAGCCAGAGTTCAAAGGAGAGGTATTATACTTGAGGGAATTTACAGCATTAAATGAGTAAGGCTGTATTGTAAATTAGAGGTTATAGTGAACTTAATTTACTGTCTCCTTTGGATCTCCAACTGCAGGTGGATGACAAATATCAGTATTCACTTGAAAACAAAGATAATCAAGTGCATGGATGGATATCTTTTGACCCTCCTGTGGGGTTTTGGCAAATCACTCCGAGCAATGAATTTCGAACAGGAGGGCCATTCAAACAAGATTTAACCTCCCACGTGAACCCGACCACCCTTGC